TTTTTTTTTTTTTTAGACAACTTTATTTCTATAACATAGGGGCTAACAATTCCCCTATGTAATAGCAAAGAGGATGTGACAGGTCTCCTTTATGGAGACCCCTAATATCACCTAGTGACCCCAAAGATGATGAAACAGAAATCTACAGCAGCCAGAGAAATGACAGAGTGAAACCGGACGTGATATAATACGCATCACTTAGGCATTCATTGATCAGAGGGGACATCAGCCGATCAGTGTGCTGATCTCCCTCTGGGGTAAGTGAACAGACCGGCTGTGCCGATCCCACATAAGGGACAGCAGAGCCCAGGATAGCTGGAGGCGGGGACGTACACTCCAAGGCACCATACAAGCGATAGGGTGGCTCTATAGATTAGCAGCTGGAAGGGTGATCATCTCCCTCCCATCTAAGTGAACAGACCCACCATGCCGGTCCCTGGCCTGCACGGAGGAAAGTGGAGCCAATGATTGCCGGCAGCAGGGGCGCACAACCCACGGCCCCATACAAGCGATTGGGCAGCTCTATAGATCAGCAGTTGGAAGTGGACTGATCTCCCTCCGATCTAAGTGATCAGACGCCCCAAGCTGGTCCTCTGGCCCACACGGGGGACAGTAGAACCCGCAATAGCCAGCCAGGGAGGGTCGCACACTCCCTGGCCTCATGCAAGCAATCGGGCGGCTCTATAGATCAGCCGCTGCAAGTGTGCCGATCTCCCTCTGATCTAAGTGAACAGACTCGCCATGCCGGCCCCTGGCCTGCACAGGGGACAGCGGAGCCCGCAATAGCCGGCCGGGAAGGGGTCACACAGCCCCTGGCACAGTACAAGCGATGGAGCGGCTATATAGCTGCCGGATTCCTTCTATGTGAACATCCATCGCTAGCTGTCTAAACCGGCAGCTGCCGTGCTGTTGGTATAAAGGCTTCAGAATGCCGCTGTTTATTTACGTCCTGAATCAGTCAAGTAGACACTGTTGCCTTTCCATTCAGAGCAATGCGACACTGGGTGTCAGTGGAATAGAGCTAAAGTTTTAGAATGATAAAATGTGGAGCTTTCCAAAAAAAAAAATGATGCTGCTGCCATTTGTCAGGAATTTGCTCATGAAGAATCAGTCACTGACAGGTCCACTTTAAATGGAATATCATGAGCTGACCATGGAAGTGGCACAAGACCAGACATACACTGGACTCACCCTTGGCTGCCAGTTTTCATACTGCTTCTGTAGGTTGGCCCCGATTGTTTCCAGGGCTTTCTGTGGGCCCATCGCCAGAGGATCTGTAAAATAACACAGGACATTTCATGATTAGTACATAGAATAGTACAAAAATGTATTCACTTTAGTTGAATAAGATCATCTTATCACAGCAATGACATGATCGGGAAGCCCGCCTCTATTTCCCTGAAAGGGCCACTGAAAGCCGGCACCAAGGGGTTGAAAGAAAATGCCCCTGTGATACAAGAGGTAATATACTCACCTCTCTGTACGCCTGTTTCTTATCCTCACTCCATTATAGCAGTTCAGCCTCCATAAGACTCTTCAGTGTTCAACACTTCAGATGTCTGTGCACCCTCCCCCCTCCCCACAACGGACCCTGGCTTTATCCCTCTACCCCTATGTAGCTGCAGTAAAGGGGAGCAATGTAGGGGTCAAAGGAAGAAACTATGGCCGACTGGGGGGATGGGAGGGGTGTACAGGCACCTGGCACTACCTTAAGTGTTGCAATCCAAAAAGGCTTACAGAGGCTGCAGCCAAAACTTATTTTTTTTAGTGCAGTAACGCTTAACGTGTGTGTGTGTGTGTGTGTGTGTGTGTGTGTGTGTTTCTTTCTACATATATATGTGTACTTACTAGAAAAAAGGTGAAGATTTCCCATTAAGAGTCAGCCCAAAATTGAGGTGGTATTTGCGACCTTAAAAAACTCCCTTCCCACCTCCGCCTTCATTCTTCCTTAATGATCATTTAAAGTATTCCAACCAGAAAATGAACATAAAAATCACCCACGTAATAATGGTACATCACACAGGAACCATGAACATCCATCACACAGACTTTACAAACATGATGCTCTCATTAATCAGCGCGGCCCCCGGCTTCACACTCCCATGTATATTACTGTCTAAAGGCGACCGCAGTGTATATCCACAGTTCATGTCTCCAGCAAAAACCTTCAATCGTTGCCATGACTGGTGTTGTATGGTGTCTGAAAAAATGTCATTCAATGCATAGAGTGTGAATGAGCCCTCGGGTGTTCTCAAAGTATCCCCGGCCAAGGATCCCCGGTCACAGCTCTGGTGGGTGCGGGTGTTCAACGATCCCCAGTCACAGCTCTGGTGGGTGCGGGTGCTCTCCAAGGATCCCCGGTCATAGCTCTGGTGGGTGCGGGTGTTCTCCAAGGATCCCCGGTTACAGCCTGGTGGGTGCGGGTGCTCTCCAAGGATCCCCGGTCACAGCTCTGGTGGGTGTTCGCCAAGGATCCCCGGTCACAGCTCTGGTGGGTGTTCGCCAAGGATCCCCGGTCACAGCTCTGGTGGGTGTTCGCCAAGGATCCCCGGTCACAGCTCTGGTGGGTGTTCGCCAAGGATCCCCGGTCACAGCTCTGGTGGGTGCGGGTGTTCTCCAAGGATCCCCGATCACAGCTCTGGTGGGTATGTGTGTGGATGTGGGGCAGAGGGTTGAGACTATATGATGGAGAGGCACTGACATGCTGTTCATGGACTGCTAGGTTCCTCTACTTTACAAAGATCGCTCCCCATTCCAGGAATGATCGGGCCTGCTGGTATTCTTGAACTTGAAACGGCTTAAAAGCCAACTTTGATTTCAAAGACGTCACTTATACCTTTTAGTTAGGGAGTTGGATGGAACATTAACCTGCAATTCTCTGTAAGTAGGGGGGACTGAGTCAATCAGACTTTTCTGTTCACGGTCCTCCATATATATGTTTTTCGTGGGAATTGCAGATAATGACTCCAGATTCTAGAAATCTGAAGGAATGGCAAGTTGGAGTTTACGGCAGGCAAGTGATTGACAGGAAGACCAACCAATGGTGAATGAGTGTCAGAGAGGTGGGTCTTCACACAACCACTTCTCTATGAATGGAAGCTTGTCTACATGGTCCGGCAAATTTCCATCGAATGGAGAAGTGAAGATGGCAGTTCAGATCCTCCATCTGACCAACTCTGCTCTTCTTCTGACACAGCAGGTCCTCTCACGGTGAAGATGGCGGCAGTGATGGGATACTGGACCTGTCCATCACTAGAAAACACAGTAGTTGCAGATGATGGTGAATTTCACCCCCATGGAGTTCACTTCCACTTGAAGGTGTGTTTGGATAGCAGGCAAGGCAGGTCAAATGCATTGGTTTTCAGATCAAACGTTGCATGTTGTGTCCGCGCTGCAACCAAAATGACCCCCCCCCC